TCTGACTGGTGTAAGGAGATATCAAATTGCAGTTCTGATTTGCATTTCCCTGATGAATAGTGATGCTGAGCATCTTTTCATGTGACTGTTGGAAAAATATCTACTCAGATCCTCTGCCTATTTTTCAGTCAGATCGTTTGTTTTGCTGTTGAGCTGTATGAATGAGTTCTTCATATATTTTGGATGTAAACCCCTTATCAGATGTTATCGTTTATGAATATCTTCTCCCACTCAGTAGGTTGCCTTTTCATTGTGTTGAGGGTTTCCTTGGCTGTGCAAAAGATTTTTTGTTTGATGTGGTCCCATGTGTTTATTTTTGCTTTTCTTGCCTTGCCTGAGGAGACAGATCAAGAAAAATGTCACTAAAACCGACGTCAAAGACTTTACTGCCTATGGTTTCTTCAGCTCTAAGCTTTAGGAGTAGTTGACCCAAAAAGGCTCCGATAAATTAGCAGTTCCATAAACGAGTCATTCAGCAAATGAAAATCAGGGTTATTCAGAATAATAATTATTCAGGATAATAATCAAAATTATTCTGCTTTTGGAGATGTATCATGCAAATTAGCCATTAGCTATATTTCTTTTAATAAATTTGCTTTCCTAAAATACTTCATTTAAGGGCATCAGTCTATTTTAGTTTTAGGCAAAGGCGAATTGCCCCGTGAAGGCAATGAGTAGAACGGGGTGCCGTGGGCTCTGGGAGCACAAACAGGGTCCAGAACGGCAACAAAGGAGGGCAAAGAGGAGGCAGCACTAAGCGGAACATGGGACCAGGGTGCAACCAGCTCAGGCCTGCTCAGGCCCCTCCTGTGCTCAGATGCAGGGGCCATTCCAGGCGATCGGCAAGCACCTTGGAAGGCGCAAGGCAGCCCTGCCGTCACATCCGCTGTGCTGCATTTACTCGCCCCGATTACTCTGCGTCTATGCCTCTGCTCTCCCGGCTGCCACACTCAGCGGAACCAGAAATGTTTATCTTCCCTCCCGCTCTCCCCTCCCAAGAGCCTTTCTTTCTCTCGGCCAAACCCACTTCTTCTGTTCTTAGGGAAAGGACAGGCGCACTGTTTGGCACATGAAGGACAAGGACATAGTAGACGTATCATATCATGGCCATTTTCACCAGGGAAGCCCAGTGCCTCAGCCCGTTCACTGTTATCACCAGGCTTTTGAACGTGTGGAACCCCGCCCCCACCCCCAACTGCCTCAAGAATTCCTATTTGTCTTTCAAGATGCACCTCCTGGAAGGTCTAGTGTGCCATCTGGGGAGACTCCCCCATGGCCTCTGACCTCCACCTCTCAGAACTAGAAGCCTTTCTTATTTGTTGGCACCATGTCCCAAAATGACCACTTACCAGAAGGTATTGCCGTCAGGGGCACATTTATTAAAGGCCAATGAGGCTTAATCTTGCACCCTCACTTATATGCGCCCTTTCCAAGGTCCAAGGTGCTCACATACTCACACATTTTTGTAGACCTTTCAGATAATATTTTAACTACAATCATGACTGCTCTCTCCACTCCAGTTGCCCTCTGTCACACTTCCCCTTCAGTAGAGTGGGTGGGGGCATTTGGGGCATTCTCAGCTAAGGAAAAGTTGTGTGGAGATACGTTTAGTTTGGGATTTGCCATGTGCCCATATGTTAACACTAGCCATCCTGGCATCCAGGAGTACTCCCACCAGCCACTAAGCCAATGCATCCTGCTTAATGACATGGAAGGCTGGATGATGAAGGACCAGGGGTGGTATCATGCTACAAATTTGTCCAACAAGGGCCATGCATCAAAGTATGTGCATAAGGTAAGAAAAACAAGGCTGGAAACGTAGCAGCCAGGAGCTAATCACTGGCAAACTCTTCCAATCCTCAGATGTATAAACACTTAATGGTACATTCTGTTCTTATTAATTCCGAGTCAAAAACATAAGTTCTCCCAGGCAACTAATGACTCTATAGCATCTTACTATGCTGATAGACAGTGACTGCGATAGGCGGGGTGAGGACTTGATAATATGGGTGAATGTTGAAATCACAATGTTGTTCATGTGAAACCTTCATAAGTTGTATATCAATGATATGTTAATCAAAAAAAACACTAAAAAAAACAGAAGTTCTCTCCTGTTAGGACTATACACTTGATAATGCAGCTAATATCATTATAAGTACACCAAACTTCTTAAAAAACTTTTATGATAATTGTGTAATTTATCAGAATTCCTGTGTTTATGGGGCACAAACCCAAGGTAATACTAGAAACAGCCATTGCCTTAGTGTGTATCACATAGTAGATCACACCTTAGCAAGACATTATCAAGAAAGGATTTGCATTCTGAAGAAACATCTAGCCTACCAATAAAATTAAGCTTTTTCTAGGGAAAAGACTAAATCATCTCTCTATTGAAAATACCACAAAATTGTTGCCACATGCAAAAACCAATGAGTATCAGCTAAATAATTTTAAGAAAATATCACAGAGTGTGTCAGGCAGTTAATGCATAACAGCATTACATTACTTTGGGGAATTTGGAGATGTTTATGGAATATGTCTCCTTTTCAAACTATAATTTGTTACCACATAATTAATAAATATTCACTTTTATATCTTATTTTTTTGTACATAATATTTCTTAAAGAAGACTCTAACGCTGTATAAGCTTCAGGCCTACAAAACTTGATCCAGCCTGATTCTAACTGCTTCTATATCTGTGATCTCCAACATCTGAGTTTTTTGACTTTGTAGAAGTTGGTACAGCATATGTGTTTGTTGTGCTGAATGAAGGAATGTATGTGATTCTGGAAGAATGAACTCCTGAGTAGAATGCATGTTGGCCTGTAAGTGACTGCCTGTTTTAAGTCCCTCATTTGGGGCAATTTTGAAAATATTTATGGAAAAACTAATTTTACAAAAAATTTTTTTATCAGTGTTCACTTCATTAAATTTTCCACAACACCTAAAATTGTTTTTAAAAAATACAATTTAGTAACCTATGTTTTAATCTTCAACTCACTTCTTAGATGAAATTTTCAAACATGGAAGTCTATTTTGGATGAATTCAACTCTAAGTTCCCACTTTCATTCAAAGCTTTTATCGTAACAGATAATAAAAGAATCAATCAGGTCCTCTTACATGCCTTCCTCTTCCTCTCTCTCTCCCTCTCACTTCCTTTATTTTGCCCCATGTGGAACAAAGATACAGCAAGTGCAAATGACCTGACCGTTCTAGGAGTCGCCTCCATATGTAACATGAGGACAAACTGGGAAGTCCTGCCAAGAGGCACATGAGTGATGACTGAGTGGTTCTATATAACCCAACAGTAATATTAGCAATATTTGCACAGTGGCTTACTCATGGGAACTTTTTAAGATGTGACCTTATAAAACCCTAGTGACTTTTCACTACATAGATAGATCATGGTAGTAATTCTCTACATTGCTTAGACGAGGAAACCAAGTAACAGAAAAGGAAAACAAGTTTTCTGTTGCTACTGAATGTCAAAACTAAGCCAAGGGAATTAGCTCAGGTGGTATACACACAGCCACATACATAACCAGAATGGCCTTATGCAACTTCACTGGCCAATTTATTCCCCTTGCTTGGCTTCAAGTTATTTGGGCTATTTCCAAAAATCAAATCTGTCTTTTAGGGTCAATTAATTCCATTTCTTCATCTCACCCCAGGCGAGTTCTTCAACTCCAGAGGGGACATTGGTTTTACAAGTAGGCATGCTACTCTATTTGAAAGAGCAAGTTAAGGAGACCCTCTCAAGGAGTCTCCCTTCTACAACAACTCATTGTGTAATTCTGTGGGTTTAAGTTAAATTTATCCATAAAAAGACAAGGGTATTTGCCCCCATGTACTTTTGAGGAGGGATGAAAGAACAAGTATGGTGTGTAATTTCCTTTGACAAGCAGTTATGGAATACTTTCTGGAATCCCCATATAGGGAGGCTCTGTACGGCGAAGACTGCCTGGTGAGTGTATATCTGGTGTCACCACTTACCAGCTGTGCAATCTCCCTGTGCCTCACTTTCCTCAATTATAAAATGGGGATAATCATAGGATTGTGGACAGTATTAACCAGATAATATATAAAGTGCTAGGCACACAGTGAATGTTCTAATGGTAGCCATGGTAATCATAAGGCAGTGGGGGAGAGTCACAGAGGAAGAATGGTATATTCATCCATCACCTAGAGCTCTGAGAGGCTATGTATACATCCTTTCCTCTCTATCCCAGCACCTAGTACACAGGAGAAACTCTACAATGAGAAGAGACCCTTGTGGAGGAAATAAATGACTGAAGACCCAGCTCCTGCTTCCAATCTCTGTTGGTGACAGACACACAGAGGCTACTAAATAAGGCAGGCAATGCACGTGCTCTTTGAATATTAAATTCTCAGCCTAACTCTCTAAACTAGAATTTCCCATAGCATGCTTACTATTAATCCCCATGTTGCAAACCTTAGCTCTAGAAAAAAAGGTCACATGTCAAATGCATAATGAAAAAAAAAAAAACCTTGCCAAATGTGAAAAGCTAACAACTGCCAGAACTATCTTGGAGAAAAAGAAAGCTTCTATTTGATTCCTTCCAATAAACCCAAAGAGGCAGAACAATGTGCCATAAATAAGCCTCCCTCCAAATGTGCTCCTGCGAAAGGAAAAGGAAACCCAGAGCAGGAATGGGGAAGTCCTACAAGTGCGTTCATGTATCTCAGGGACTTGTCCTTTGGTCACTGAGGAAGCTCCCTTGTGCCTAGTCAGCTTCCCCGGTGGCATCCCTTGTCCTCTCTGAGCCCTAGGAAGCCCACAGTCTAGCCAGGCACATGAGTGCTGCCTTTACACCACATTCTCTGCCTGCAACACGCTGGCAGATTGAATTCTGAGCTGTCCTTCAAAACTGGCCCAGATAGCCCTGCCTTCAGAAAGCCCACCTGACACCAATCTCCCTCTCTCTCCACACTCCCATTATACCTCTTGCTTGCATCCATTACAACATTCAGCACCCACTAAATTTCACTTGTTTATTTGTCTTTCTTCCCCACTCCGCTGCCTCATTTCCACCAACCACTCAGCATGGTTCCTGGCACAGAACAGACAATGAATGTTAGAGGGATGAATAAACGGTGGTGTTTGATGATAATTAAAGAGCTCCCTTGCATTGGCAAGCAAGACAGACCATGGCTGGGGTGCTGCGGACCTCACCCCAAGAAGGCCCACGCTCAGCAGAACAGTCAGGGACATGAGTCGGGAGTCTGCTTAACATGGGGGGAAGAGCTAGTGGCAAAGTCAAGTGATGTACGAGACCTTCTGATCATGGACCGGGACCTCTTCACATCCCACAGTGATTCATTTATTAGATCTGAACTGGTATCTGCCTCAGTGTGGTCCCAAATGTTTCATCCTTGCAACTGAAAAAAAGAGAGGGAGCAAATTATACAACTAAAAGGCTGAAATTTGTTTCCATAAATTTACATGTAAAATTCATTTTAACTCAATTTCACATTATGTTCAAAATAAACTTAATTACTGTAAAATTGGATTAAACTAGATACAAAATAAAGAAGAATTTAATTTAATGAAACATCAATTTTCATTTTAATAACTAATCCCTCACCCATGCCACATGCTTTCCTATCTTCATGCCTCCACGCTTGTTTTCTCTCTACCAGGGATGACATTTCCCCCAAACAGTACTTAACCAACGAGTATTTATTGTGGAATGAGGCACTAGAGACCCAGTGGAGAACAAAACAAAGGTGGTCCATGTTCTCAGGTCACCGTGGTCAGAGAAAGACTGGCATTAAACGGGGATTCTGAGAGTCTTGCATAGAGAAATACAGGACCTAGGAAAACAGAGCCAGAACCCAGCCACCGAGTTATAAAGCAGCCCCTGAGGGAAGGCTCATTTCAGCCCAAAAAAGGCATCATTGCTATGCGTCATGATGAAGGTGTTAGCGAATCCGCTGCAATCATCACACTGCAATACTTAAACGTATCAAACCACTACATTGTACACCTCAAACTCATACCACGTCTATGTCAATTATATCTCCATAAAAAACACCAGTAATTTTTTTTTAAAGAATGAAACAGAAGAGGAGAGCCGAACGTTCGGCAAAGGGGGTGACGAAGAAAGGAAAAAGATGAGCTAGAACCTCACATGGAAGAAATAGCATTTGCTCTTCTCTGTGGAAAAGAAAAACACATTTCAGATCTCTGAAAGAACACTGGGCCTCTGGAGCAGAGAGAGGGAGAGAGAGAGCTGGAGGACTTGAGAAGCCCACACTTACTCAGAGAGTAAAAAAGGAACCTCAAAAGTTTTCATCTTGTCCCAGGTTCCAAACAAAATAAAACACCCTCCAGAAATAATCTCCGTCCTATTTGTTTTCCTTTCAGAGCTAGCATCCAGTTGGTGCAGAACTCAATTAGCAGTTACTCTCTCAACAGGCCATCTTTCGGGAACAAAAAACATTCCTCCCCTCCGTGCAGCTGCGCAGCGCCACGACTCCCCATGCTCTTGCACCGATCCTCGCATGATTCCACACAGCCCAACAGCCAGTGGCCAGTCCGAACTCTAAATCAGCAATGAACGCGAAACCACTGGGAGGCACATTCCACACTGAGTGAGAATAGCTGACAAAGGCTGTACGAGTTACAGTTTCGAAGCACATTATGCCAAAACTTCGCCTCTTAAAATAGTAGGCATTTATTTATCTCATGCAGCACCTGCAGGTGTTGAATGTGGGAGTGAGAAAAGTGGGTAGCTCTGACTCACATGCAGGCGCAGTCGGCGGTCCGCCCGGGCTGCGGTCCCCCGGAGGCTTGACTGGCCCCGGCAGGTGGGTCTCCAAGGTGACTCACTCACACGCCTGGGGCATTAGCACCTGTTGCCTGCAGGAGGTCTCGGTTCCCGTCCAAGTGGATAGAGAGCCATTTGTCCTTTAAACATGACAGCTGACTTCCCCGAGAGCAAGTGACTCATGAGATAGCACTGTGAATGCCACAGCGTCTTTCACGACCCAGTCTCCAAAGTCATCCGCCATCAGTTTTGCAATATTCTGTTGGTTACACACGTCAGCCCCGTGTATTCAGTGTGGAAGGGGACAACACGAGGGTGGGGACAACACGAGGGTGGGAACACCAAGAGAGGCGACTCATCTGAGGTCAGCCTGGAGGCCGGTCACCACAGTAGCTCTGGGTGGTACCCAGCCGCTATGTATTTCTAATCTGAGAAGCAGTATTGGTGGAAGCAGAGCAGCCTTGCAGGCACTCAGACCTGTATTTGACTCAATCTCTGGCACCGACTGCGTCTCCTTAGCCTAGTTATCTAATCTTTCTAAACCTCAGCTTTCTCATTTGTAAGATGAAGCAACCACTTACCTTTTAGGGCTGTTTTGAGGATTTGGCACGGATTATATTTGGTGGCTGGCAAATAGGAGGACTCAAGAATTGCAACTATTATTATAGTTACTACGTAGGCAAAATGTTACTATAGAAACACAGTTGGAAGTCATTATCCACAAAACCTGTGTCAAACCCTTAAGGGTTTTTTGCTATTTGTTTATTATCCTTATGCATTATTTTATAATTTACAAATGCCTTAGAGCTAAATACAGGGTGGCAGACGTATATGAGGCTAAAAAAATTTTTTCTTTTACATGTTTGAGTATGTGCAGAAACCATGAGGACTTTAAGATCCAAACTTGGGGAGTTGTGGGGCAGGGAAGATCCAAAGCTGGAGGGCCAAAGAGCCATGAGGCTATGATCCCTCCCCACCAGCTAAAGTCCATAGTATGATGATCTTTAGGAAACATGGAAGTAAGGTAACAGGAAAGAAAAAAACCCGCAAGTACTGAGCTAAGTAGTTTTCTCAAAATTACAGTTCTTCTGGGGGAAAAAATGTGAATATCTCTAGAAAAAAAGAAAGTTCAGATGGTCAAGTTCTGTCTCATGTCAAAATGAAACATTTTTCCAAAAACTTTCTGGTTTACAAGGTTAAACTATGTTCTATACTCAGGAATCAGAGAGTCTATGCTTTGGCTTGGTTGAGAATTTCTAAGTGTTTTCTCCAGTAAAATAAGAATGAACACACTAGGGGAAGAAGCATCTTCACATCTGTACTCAAAGTATCATTTCTTCAAATTTATATGCAGAGAATCTAAGCAGACAGGGCTGAGGCCTGGCCCAGAGAGGCTTCTGGGACCCGGAGCAAATCACTGGCCCTCTCTTTCCCCATCTCTCAAAATGGAGAGAGCTACTGTAAACAGGACTTTTTCAGGCAAGGGAGAAATTAGAAGGAGGGAAAAAAATCAAATGAGGTGATATATAGAAAGTTTAAAATGTAAAGGTCCTTCAGGTGTGGGGTGGGGAGTGAAGCATTCTTTTCAGGGATTATTTTATTTTTATAGCACTTTTAAAACATTTATTTTAGTTGCTATCTGGAATAATGGATTTACCATACAGGTAATGGAGCTGAAACTTTTGGGGCTTATCATTTGACTGAAGCTCTTCTAATTCAATGTTCACTGTTTGCACATCATGTTACATTTTTTTCTTAAGAAGTCCTCATATTGTTATAAGCTTCAGGCCCTACAAAACTCAATCAGCCCCAGTTGCTGCTGTTAACATAAAGATGCGCTGGTCAACCAAGACCAGTTTTTCTAAATATTATCAGTATTTCATCACACCAGAAAATGGGATATATTTACTAACAGCTTAACAAATCTGTACAAAATGCTAGTATTATGTATGAAAGGGTATTTCCAAGCTGAATGACTTCTAGAAAATATGGAAATAAAATTTATCCATTACACAGACATAATTTTTTATGAACACTCATGTTTTCATTACATAAGATGATCACATTATATAAGCTATATAATTCATAAATTACATATACTGGAGTATATATAGCGTGGAATTTAATTTTTGAGTAAACCATAGTTAAAGGTGAGAGCATCTTTATTTTCCTTCTTAAATGAAAGGAAAAAAGTATTGAATCTTTTATCTATGTATATTATTATATCCCACATTTGGGGCATTTTGAAGAAGTAGAGATTCCAGAAGTCAAACAGCTGTACTACAAACAATAAAACAGTAACTTCTCTGAGTTGAGAAGAGCATTGAACAGTAGCTAAGAACACTAACTCCTCAGCCAGACTTCCTGGTTCCCATCTCATCCAGTGGCATGGCATGTGTGCACTTCAGTTTCCTGTCCTGTTAAAGGGGGAGTGACAGTGCCCCCCTCACCAGGTAGGGAGTGAATGAGTTACCATATTTGTGAGGTGCTTAGAAAACCACCTAGCATATAAATAAGCACTACTTACGCATTCTTAAAACACCTTTGGCTGATTTCTACCTTGGGCTGTCACCTCACAAACTGCTTTACCAGCCTGAGTAATGATTGAAAAGTTTCCATTTTACCCCACTGCCATTCTCCCACTAGTGACAACGTGTTGCTTCTAGATGACCTACTGAACTGCCACCTTTTTTGTAGAAAAGGTTATGTTACTCATCTTTATATGCACGTAGGTATTGTTTAGCCTTAGAACAGAAGTAATCCCTAAGAATTTTTTTTTTCGGATTGCAAGTTAAGATAGGAATAACTGAAACAGAGCACTGTGTCACTCAGGCCTAACAAAGAAGGAAATATTGCCATTTGCAACAACATGGGTGGACCTAGAGGGTATCATTCTCAGTAAGATAAGCCAAGCAAAGAAAGACAAGTACTATTTGATTTCACTTACATGTGGAACCTAGAAAAACAAAACAAAGAAACAAGAAATAGACCCATAAATACTGAAGCCAAACTGTTGGCTACCATAGCGAGGGTGGTGGAGGGATGGTGAAATAGGTGAAGGGTATATAGAGGTACAAACTGTAAACTGTACAATAAATTAGTCATAGGACTAGAAGTACAACACAGAGAATATAACCAATACTATTGTAATGTCTTGGTATGGTAACAGGGGGAACTACACTTACCATAGCAAGTATCTAGTAATGGACATAATGATCAAGTCACTATGCTATACATCTGAAACCAATATAATATTGTATATCAACTTTATTCCACTAAAATAAATGAGTAAATTAATCAATCAATAAATAAAATGGGTTTCTTGTAGACCGGGTGTAAAAAAAGAAAACCATGTAGCTTAAAATAAATGTTTCACAGTATAGGATTACTACGTGTTTTCTCAAAGGGTTTTTGATATTTCCTGAATTGTTCACATTAGGAAATATAATTATACCATTAGCAAGCAAGAGTTTAACTTTTGATGATCAATAAACAGGCAAAATTTTAGGTTGAGCTGTTTAAACAAAAGTGAAAAAAAAAGAAAAGAAGAAAGCTCTTTTGTATTAAGTATTAATAAGTATATGTCGATTGGAAGATACCTTGTTTATTCATGTATTGGCATGCAAGAGCAGGCTAAGATGATTTGACTTTGAACTTTCATCAGTATCTGTTTTTATAATAATAAAAGCAGAGTGTGTTTTATTGTGGCCCTAAAACCACTCTGTCCCTGTGAACACCACATGACTGGGTCATTAATAAGAAAGTTTTGAGGAACAGCTGTATAGTAAATATTTAATGGAAATATCAAGTGACCTTTCTTAAGGTCTTATATCTCAGTGACAGGAAAGTTTTGTTGTTAACTTCCAATGTAGTTATGTAAATAGCCCTTAATTTATGATAAATAATAGGAAGCATACATCATAATGAAACATTCGATTATGTGAACACCACAGTTTTTTGGTTGAGGGCCCTTCTTTGGTTCCCAAAGAGCAACAGCATTGTTTATTCCTGAATTCAAAAGAAATAAAGTTCTCCTGCTGTGCAGCTGTCAGGTTTTTTATGGTGCCAAAGGCTTTCTAGCCATCAGCAAAGCTATAGTCTTATGTAATTTTAGCAGCCTTTCAGAAATGCATGGTTAAGAGCAGAATGATAACTCTAGTTCTAGAATCAGATAATTCTTAATTAGGTCCATCTTTGGTTCCACAATCTCTTAATAAAAATTACAACCTACTGTTTAATAGATGCCTCTTATGTGCTGGGTACAGTGCTAAACCCTTTTCACAAATTAGCTAATTCAAACTTCACAATAACCTTATGAAATAGGAACTGTTATTACCCCATTTTCCAGATAGAACTGAGAACTGTGGGGAAAAGTAAGTACTTAATTCCCACAATAGAAGAGTTGTACTCAGTCTAAAAACACTAAATCTCAGGGTTTTCCTACTTCATTGTACTCCATCTCCATCCACCCTTAATCTCCTTACATGATGAAGTAACAGAATTGGGCTGCCGGATGTCAACCTCCTAAAATAAGTGGGGTGATAAAATCTGACATGAGTTAGATGTGTCACCAAAAGCATAAGCTACAAAAGAAATAATAAATTGGACCTCATCAAAATTAAATACAAAAGTCACCATCAGGAAAGTGAAAGATAATCCATAGGATATATGATTCGCAAATCATATATCTGTTCAAGGTCTACCACCCAGAATATATGAGGAATTCTTACAACTCATAATAAAAGACAACATGTTTTAAAATTGGGAAAGGATTTGAATAGCTTTCTCTCTAAAAAAGATATATAAATGGCCAGTAAGATGCAATATGGTGCTCAACATGATTAGTCATCAGGAAAATGCAAATTAAAATCAGATTGAGATACTGCTTCGAACCTACTAGAATGATTCTACTCAAAAAGACTGAAATTAACAAGTGTTGGTGAGCACGTAGAAAAATTGGAA